AATCGAATGCATAAGATTTACATCTACTTAACCAGGACATAAAACCAGGATACAAAGCACACGGGAAGAAATTGTTTTAAAAGTGGGGGTTTTTTTTAAGATATTTTTTGCTTTATAAAACCACTAGAGAATCTGGGCAACTAACAATCTGAAAATGAAAGCAATCCCTTCCCTACTACCAATACAGTTGCACTTCAAGTAAGCTCACAACGTTACTTGAACACGGTAAGAACAGTTTTTATTTACAGATCCACAACTAAGTACCAAAACATCTTTCAATAAACCAATGAGCTCCCAAGCTTTGGCAAGATCATTCTCGCAGTGGCCAGGCCACCTCTAGCAACGAGCAGCTTCTCCTTCCAGCCGGAGAAGACATTTCCACCCATGCATGGCAAACAGCGCTCCCGTACCACCACATCCTTCAGCAAGCCACAGTGCACTGCTAAACACAGCGGTGCCCCAAAACCTCCAAAGCACCCCACTCATTTCTGCTCCTGGTAGCATTCCATACTCCTAGCTACAGCAGCACTGCGGTGGCAACTATCTGTACAAATCTTCTTCCTCTTGCTTCCCACCTCTCATCTCAACTGTCCCCGAAGCTGAAGGAACAGCATGAGGCCCTGAGCATATTCCGAGATTAAGCACAAAACTTCACAAATTAAGGGCATTTTAGCTACACAATGCTAGATAGGTGAGCATTCGTGTCTCATGGAGAGATTCTTTTTGTTTGCAAAATGATGTTTATTAGTAAAACAAATTATCTACATCCATCTAAAGCACACTTTTAAGAAGGATGTTTTTCTATAAAAGATGCCTCAGCTGACATACAAACGAATGGAAAACAAAGAGTATATCCTACCTAACAAGAGATAAACAAGGAAAGCAAAGCTCTTCAGGGAAAAAAAAAAAAAAAATAATCAGGACGGTGAATATAGACAAAGAATCTGAGATAATTGGAAGCAGTTATCTTCACAGACTCTGGCTCACTGGCTTCACGCTTTTTTGTTACACAAAAACTACATGATGCATTTAAAACGCAGTATTTCAACTACTACAGGGCTAAAAGACATTTGAGCATTTATAGTTCATATGTGCATCATCCAATTTTAAAGAGTATTTCAGAAAATCACCATGTGTCAGTCTCAAAAGTACAATTACTTTGCTTTCCTCAATTTGTCCGCCATTTTTTTCTTTTTAGACAGCAATGAATAGAGTATGTGAAGAAAATAAGACTGATGTGAAATTTAATAATAAAACAGCTAGAAGGAAATCAACTAACTTTATAAGCAACTACACTGTTTAAAACGACATCATTTCAACAGTAAGCTTTCAAGCTTCATTTCATTCTCAGACCAGACATGAAAATTCCACAAACATCAAAAATATCAAAATAAGACATTTTAAAGACAAGCAAAGCTTGCTCTTCTTCTAAAACCTAACATACAATATATATTTAAAATCACATACACGGATCTTTTAGCTAAACCAGTTACTAAAGCAAGCAATCGGCCATCACAGAACTTGAAGTTTTCTAATTCTCAGAAATACTCTTGCTGAAAACCCTAACGTTATGACTTCAAGCTGCATCGCATGAAGCAGTCGGTCACCTCAACGAGATGGCACAAGACTGCCACCTTGTGAAAAAAAATAAAAAATCACACCTGCATTAACAGGACAAAAATCAACTCTGTCCCCAGAGACTAAGGAATACTTTTCCTACAGTCATTTTAACAGAAGCAATCCATCTGATTTACCTACTCTCAATAAAAGCAACAGATAAAAAAAAAAAAAAAACACATTTCAGCATGCACATATTGCTTACAGTGCACAATTCATGCTAATTTTGAACACGAACACGTGTTCTCAAAGAACTTAAAAGGAATGAAATACAGAATGCTCACAAATAACAGAAAATACAGTTCACAGCATATAGCACTATCAAACAAACTTCCTACCTTCCCAAATAACCATCTATTTTTAACTAAAAGAAAAAAAACAATGTGTTCAATTATTTTTTTTCCACCTCAGAACAATTCAGCCATGCTGTGGCTGCTCAGCTCTCTATTTTTATTATTCTGACAGTTATGAAAAATCATCACCTTTTTTCTGTCTGAGAAAAACTGAACCTCAGCCTTTATTTTTAAACAGCAATTACAAAAATGTTAGCTATGCTACTTTTGCTTTCATCTTGGACACTACAACAAATTAGTGTGATTTTTTCTAAATGGATACCTGATGAACAAAATTAACACTAAATCATCATTTTAATGCTGTCCTAAGTAATTTCATTGCTAAATGACACCTGCTGAGGAATTAACCTAAAGAAAGCAATTGTGGTTCTACTGAAACTAGAAGACCTCGGCAACATAAACCAGGATAAACACAGTCCTTTCTGCATGTCTTTAAGATGAATAGCTAATAAATTATGAACAACTACAATGGAAATATTTCAGGAGAAAATACTAAAATTGGTTTTCCAAAAGACACTTGCTCCAAGATTATAAAGTATGTTTAACTGATTCTTGTATCTAGATTTAAACAATGCTACTGCTACTGATATTTGTCAAATTTGTAAGAGATGTTGATGGAATTTGGAGACCTTTCTTTATGACTAATTATGATATAATTACAACCATCCTGATTTCTGACACTGAGTCAAGCTAACACTGAATATTACCTGCAAACTCCCTGTGGTTCATCAACAAAAGTGAAAACATAGCTTTACTCTAAAAATAAATTCTTTCATGTTTCAGTAGTTCATGGACTTTCCTCTTTAATTTAAACTTGTATCAACTCAGCCTGCTTTTAAATTAGCAAAATACACTGAGAATAATTGTACTCTTAAATTAAAATACATGTGTATACTGATAAATCCCGTGATAAAATATTACACTATCTTATAATATTGGTTAAAAACCCCCCAACAGTTCACAGACATCTCTCTACATGTAATTCTTCTAATGTTTTGTGATGTGGAGATCACTAGAAGGTATTGTGCTCTAAATTTGGGGGGGACTTTTTGCATTCGCTTTTCTTTACAAAAGAAACGCATTCAAATTGTATATATTTAAACTCAGTTCTTTTCACTTGAAACATAGCTGCTACCTCTGTTAAGAACAGGAAGCATAAACACTGCTTCTTAACCGTGTTGATAATCGAAGGCATTCACATGCCAGTATCAATAGACATGCTGGACAAAACAAAACACCTGGGGACTAAGTAAGCACAGAATTTTTTTATCTCAACAAGCAAAGGAACACCTGCTCCCCTACATAAAGCCAGAAAAAAAAAAAAAACACAGATCTAGAAGGCAATTCAGAATTCTCACCACAGCCCCATCTCTTCCCATGTGACCACTTCAACTCATTCAGTACCAAAATTTGAGGACACAAATGAAGTTGTACTAAAACACGCACTTGCTCTTTACCTCGTTTACATTTTTACTGGCATGGTATACAGAAACAAAATTGGAAGTAAGACCTGCAAGACTTCCCCACTCCCTGTCCCCCATCCTCCCCCAAAATCTGCCATACTAAAATCACAACACAAGGCAACATCCTGCACTCTGCAAGAACCACGCTTGATTCTTGAAAAGCAACCCATTTCAGGTTCCTCTTCCCCCTTCAACATATATATATATACACATACATATATATATATATACATATATATATATAAAAAAAGCAAACAGGGCGTGATCAAAAATGGCTTTCCCTGTTGTACACACACTATTAACAAATCACCATACTGGCAACAGACCAAGATGCAAACAGTGACCTGGCAAACGTCTTAAATCCAATACAAATAAACCTACTCATGGAAGAGCAGCTTTAAGGTTTCCTTAGAAGAAACAGGGTTGAAAAAACATTGGACAGGAGAATCTAAGTTAACCGCAGTCTTCATAGTGCTAGGACAGGGAAGGGATCAGAGCCAGGACACTGATCTGCATACTGTAAAAGAAAAAAAACCAAACAGTACCAATGTGAGTAATAACTCCACAGAACTGACCTTTAGAGAAACAATTTCATTTCAGAGTGACTGGAGTGGCAATAATATGATACGTTTGCACAGATTTTGCTACAGTATTTTCACTACAGAATAAGAAAAAACTTAAAGATGCTACACAGTATGTGAAGTTTCAGATCCCCCCTGCCACATAATTTAGTTATATTTATAAAACTGCTTAACAGTTAACTTTAAGCAATCAAGTATTTTTGAGTCTAATTCACGTCATTTACTGACAGGAACCATTACCACCTTCTTTCATTCTGATGATAATGCACTAGATGCTTTTAAAAATACATATACATACACACACATTGTATTTTACCTTTGTAAAACAAAATTCATACTCCTTAGTTCCATTACACTTGCATATATGAGAAAAACATTTAAAAGAACAATTCAGTAATGCCATTAGCGTTTCTTTAAGATTACATGTCAAAGACCTTAGAAACACTCAGTTCAACCTGGGAATGCACTCATATGCTACTTCAATACAAACCTGTGAGCACAGCACCTCAGGACATAAAAGCCTGATTATTTAAAAGGGTATTCATTAGACTGCATTCCACTGTGCAATGACACGTTTCAGTCTGACATGCATAAATTACTGCCCTTCTAATAGGTCACATTATCAACTGTAGTTTATCTTTTGTTATACAATAACATTTATTCCCCTAAAAGAAGGTACATGCACATAGCCTCCCCGGTATTTTATAAATATCAGTTTGAAATAAAATTTTCAACATGCTCTAATGATTTAAGAGCCTATATTCTGTTTGCAAAACTAATGTAAGCATTTATTGACAAAAAAAATGATGAAAATTCAGTGGGACGTAGGAGGTTCTGAAAACATTCTACTTCAGCAGTGGTTCACACCTTGACTACTAGCAAACCTAGATGGAAGTGGCCTGATCCAAGGAGTTAATATGCACCCAGAGGTAACAAAAAGGTTAAACAAATACTTTGTTTTAAAGAGAAACTTCTGAAACATAAACTGTCAGACATTCAAGGGCATATTATATAATATTTTATTATAATGAAAAAGGATGGTAAACATTTCCCTTATTTCACATTAATTACAGAAAAGTGTTCTCAAATTCCCCCTCATACTGAATTTGTTAATTCCAGGAGCTCATACATTCAATATATGGAATATCTTCACATCACAACAGATCAGATCTCACATTCAGTTCCAAGAAATAAGCAAACAGCTTACTCCCCCAGTTCCAACTGGGGAAAAACGTCCTTACATAATGCACAACACACTGCTTCATTCCAGAGTCCACAGTCCTGAAACAGAACTGGGTTTTCCTTGGAGTATGAAAATACCAAAAAAAAAAAAAAAAAAAAAAAGTCACCACATAAACCTCTGGATTTCATCACTATTTGGCCATTGGAATGTTCTGTTTAGAAAAAGATAAAAAGTTACAGCATTCACAACAATATAAAAAGCCAACTCCAAAAGTTGTCTATATAGAGATGGGAATGGAATATTGAGCCTATATATTAAGAATGGCAAAATAAAGTAACGAAATTCTAGCAATTTTTGAGGAACCGTGACTGCTAGTAAGCACAGAAAATACATTAAGATCCAGAATATTGATTTTGATTTGAGTGTATCAGCAAAACTCCAGCCAGCAAATATATAGACTGGAACTAATACATATTTTACCAGCTCATGTCTTTGGAAGACTTTTCTCCAGACATAAAATGTATAATGTCTGTTATCTGCTAGTAAATACTTATGAACATAGGTAAACTTCCAGATCAGGAATAAACAGATGACAGTGATTAAGCTGTACTGCACAGGGTGCTTTTGTAATGACAGAAGGAATTTCTTGATTTTAGTAGGGGTCAATAAATGAGGGAATGAAAAAAAGGTAGTAAAGGACAAAAAATAGAACAGCTGAGGGAAGTGCAAACAGGCTTCATGGCTACTTCTGTCACCAACAACTATTCCACCATTGATGAAGACAAAACCAAAGAACGCAATTACTAATATGACATATGGCCAAGTTAAAGCGATAAGTGTAACTAAGTTTTTAGGAGATAAGAGATATTGAACGAGAAACTGCAATATTCTGATCAAATCTGAAAACGATCCTTTCCTGGAAGAAACCTTTTCATCTTTCTTTTTCTGTAACTCTGTCTTCCAGGCTTCATTTAGCTTCTCCGCAACAACATTTCCAGCACAAAAAACTGTCCACACAATATTTGTCTGACGAAACATGAAGCCACAAAATCCAAAGAAAGCTGAAGTTTTATGGTTACCATAAAGGCACATTAAATAGGCAAAGAGAGTAAAAAATACTGATCCTGGGTCCGTGTAATAAAGGAACGTAAAAAAATAAAGGGTAGGAAATATTGCAAGAGTTAACGTAGACAAGACTCTCTGGAAACGGGACACATCCTAGAAAAGAAGCAGAAATATGTGGTTAGCAATGTCCAATGAAAATAAAATACATAAAACAAAGAGTATCATTCTTGAGAATTCCATTAACACAACATACCATCTCTTATGCTTGTCAGTTCCCTCACTGCACAAGCACGCATGCTATACTTTTGTTACCTCCTGCTATGCTAACACAGTGTTGGACTATACAATGTTAAAAGACAAATAAAATTACGGAACATTATTGCACGTGAGTTAAAAATACGGCAATGAAAATACACTAACTTCTTTCACATGTCACGTGTTCACACATTTGTGGCATTAAAATCATTGTGGGAGTATAATAGCTCCCAGACCTAGGATAAAAGAGACGTACTAACGGGCAAAAGGAAAAAAAAAAAAAAAGTCCATGTTTTATCCCCCTGCAATCTCATCACCACATTCTGTTTATTTGTGATTGAGCAGAACAGCTCAGTCTATACTTATCCTATCATATCTTTTGAAGCCAGTCTGCAGAGTGGCCAGTTCCACGTTTCTAATCTTTAGTGCAGCTTTTATTGTTTATCTTCATCATAATTCATGAATTAGAATAGCAACTTTAAAGCAGGTAGGAGACCATGCAGTTAAAAACTCCTCCCAATTATCCCACTCACAATACGATGCAATGCAATTCACAACATTAAAAAATGTTGCATGATGTTTCTGAATGATGTAGCGTGCGGTGTAACAGCCAGTCACCGCCTTACAGAAAAAAGGAACAGAGAAAATGCTGAGTTCAAAGAAGTGCCAACAATACAACATTTTCTAATGCTTAGACTACTGCCATGAAACCTTTTGTGTTCTTACATTTCTATCTCCACCTCCAAGCATAAAATTAAAAGTGCTCCGAAAGTGGAAACAATTTATTGAATTTGACCAAATTCTGTACAGTCTTATCATCACGTGCTTAAGCAGGAAGAGTCTCCTGCAAGAAAATACATCAGAAGACGTTTTATTTATAGTAAAGGAATCCTTTGGTTATCAGGGAACAGGAAAAAAGGTTCTTGTGGTTAAAAATGAAACTAAAGAACTTCACTAAGGCGAAAGATTTTGAATAGACCATTAACCACTGGAACAATTTACCTACTCCAGTGGTGGACACTCCACCACTTTAAACATACAATATTCTTGTATCCAAGTTAAACTGTTACAGTCTGGATGGGTGGACAGCTACAGAGGTAGAAACTGGCTGGCTGGTTAACTGGTCACACTCCACCCAAAGGTGAGCGTAACAACCAGAGTATCACAGGGATCTGTACTGGGACCTGACTTGTTCAACATCTTTATCGATGACCTGAAGGCAGCTAGAGTACACTCTTCACCAAATCTGCAGATGACACTAAACCGGGGGGACCAGGGAATACGCTAAAGAGCAGAGCTGTCATCCAGAGCGACCTAGGCAGGCTGGAAGAACAGGGCAACAGAGAGACTACGAAATTCAACAAGGACAAATGCAAATGCTTGCACCTGGAAAGGAAGAAGTCCCCACACTGACACAGGCTGGGCACAGAGCAGTTAAGGAGCCACTGCTTTGTGGAAAGGGACCTGGGGGTTGTGGTAGACAGCAAGGTGAACATGAGCCAGCAGCATGCCCTGGCACTAAGGAACAGCAACAGCCTCCTGGGCTGCAGTAACAAGAGCACAGCAGCAGATCAAGGAAAATGATTATCCCTCTTTACTTGTTAGGCTACACCTAGAATACCACGTCCGATTTTGTGCCCTGTGATACAAAAAAGGTGCTAGTAAACTGGAGCAATGGCAGAGGGCCACCACAACAGCTGGGGTCTGAAATACTTGCCCTGACAGGATGGGCTGAGGGAGCTGGCCCTGTTCAGCCTCGAAAACAGACGGCCATTCGGGGACTGAACAGCAGCCTACCAACACCTGTGAGGATGTCAACAGGTAAAGGGAGCCAGGCTCCTCAAAGTGGTACATGGTGGGAGGGCAAGAGACAACAGTCATAAACTGAAATGAGAGGTTCAGACTGGATATAATAAAACCCCTTCTTCACTGTAAGACCAGTCCAGCATGGAGCAGGTTGCCCAGAGAGGTTGTGCACTCACTCTGCATCCTTTGAGAGTTTTCCAGGCCTCGACCTGAGCAACATGCTCTGATCTCAGGGCTAGCCTGCTCTGAGCTGGAGGGTGGACCACCTAAGGTCTCTTCCAACCTGAATCATTCTCCAATTCTTTCCAACTTGAATTATTCTTCAGTTCCAAATATTGTCACCAAACCTGGTATCTTTCTAAAGAACACATTTTAGTTTAAATGCAGCTCACAAGGTTTCACTCAGGATTCACAGGCTGAAGTTTTGTAGAGAGTCTTCAGCAACTCCAACTAGATGAGCATTCAGGTCTTTGGACAGTAAGTCTGTATGTGTTCTGACTTTAACTCTTATTTCACTGGGACTACTTACAGTTGTGCACAAGAGCAAATTTTTAGCAGATTGCACCCTGACAGAAAAAGATATTAAAAAAATGTTGAGAAAAGGAATGCACCTCCTTGGCCAAACCGGTAGTAGTACTTGCAGTTCTGTAACACTTGAGAACAGGTCACACATGTAATGAAGCAAACATACACTGAGACATCAATACTGCTTGTACAAGCGCATAAAATGATCCTACTTTGACTGTACCTTATTCTTTTGATGGATCTTGAACAGAAGTAAATACAGCAAGTAGAAGTTCCCAGCACTGAAAAGGAGGTTAATAAACCTGAGCATTCCCACAGAGCACACCACGCTTCCTGTCCACCCGAAGAGCCATGCTGCGGGCTTCACTACTCCCACTGAGAACAGGTACAAGCCTGGCAGTGTGGTGATCATGGGGTCCCACTGGAAAGCGGAGAGAGAAACAGGGTTATGGAGCTGCCGCCACACCAAAAAGGGACCACAGGTGCGTGACCGGTTACGATATACCATCCCCACCCACGCCCCGTTTTGTTAGCTTGGACATTTAGCAAATTTCTGGCATTATTAGACTCAAATTTTTGAACACTTTTTATCCTGCCCAGCATGCTACGGCACCACCAAGCAACAGAAAGCAGAAACCAGCGTTTTGGATAACAATGACCACAGATGACTCCCTTTTCAACGCGCCTGCAGTACGTTCATAGAAACCATCCCTCCTGAATGGAAAACACGAGCCGGGGCGGCTGCTGCGCAGCACCTGGAGGAAGCGGCCGTGGCAGTAGGCCTGCGCCTGGGGGACGTGGAAGGCCTCGTCCATGTAGGGCCCGCGCTGGCGGCGGCCGATCGCCGCGAAGAGCAGGCACGACAGCAGGA